CAACTATTTCTTCTTTGATGTACCGATTTTCTTTTTAGATGTCTAGATGGGAAACTTGTTTAATTAAAATCGCTCTGTGTTTTCTTAATTACTTGCGGTATATTGAAAATATTTTTGATTAGGCTTGGCAAAAATATACACGATGCTTTTTGTTGTAATACCTTACTCACATCATCAAAAATATACACTATATTAAGTCTTAATGTTTATCGATGGATATTTAAAAAATGTGTAAAAAAGGTCACATTAATCAAAATTTAATAATATTATTAAAGTGTTTTTAATAAACTCTAGATAGCAATTTGAATGGAAAATTATGGACATAAATTTAGTTTTATGACTTAATTTTTTCTTTTTAATTATCTAAAATATATTTTTATTATATATGAAATAGAGTGCATATAAAATTCGACACGCTCTTTTCTAAACACTTTAAATGGGCATAATTAAATTATATTTTATTATCTGCTTAGCGCCGTTAGCACTAACCCTTTATAACTAGATTTTATCTTTAGTCTGGCGTATAAATTAGTGGGCGTGTGTGTGTCTACTAGTGTGTGTGCGTGTGTGTGTGTGTGTGTTTGTCGCTGATGACTTCAAGGTTAGCTATCAAAAAAAGGAATGAAAATGAAAAAAGACAGCAGCGAAAGCTGAGCAAATTTCACGACAGTGAATGTAATAAATAATGAATTGTAGGAGCTTAAGCGAGCAATGAGCACAGCAACCAGCACATGAATGGCTGTCTGTGTGTGTGTGTGTGAGTGAGTGTGTGTATACATAAAATCCGCATAGATACGCACAACTACAGACACACATATGTATTCACTAAATGCGAACATGTGCATATGTACGCAGGATCCATATAAGTTTGCGTGCCGCGACATCATTGACAACCGAAAAGGAATTACACTGACAAAAACACAAAATGATAAATAAAAAAATGAAGAGCTTCTTTTTTAAACTGAATACATTTATCTTTACTTTCGAATATATAATTAATACTTTTCGAGAAGTCCTTAATCTTTTTAAACAGGTTGTTTGGCACTTTTTAGTATGTTTAATAAATTAGAACTTTTAATCTTACGATAATTATTTCCTTAATTTGATATATAAATTTCTTTTCTTTTCTTTTTTAATTTCTAAAGTTGCTTTTCTCATATTTTCCAAGTGCTTAACTATTCCCAAATTGTGTTGCCCGCACGCACATAACTCGCACCACAAAAAGTTAGAGTTTGACTCAGCGTCAAGTTTGGCCTGAAGGAAAGTGTTTGCGTGTGTGTGTGTGTGTTTGTGTGTATTGTCAGGGTGTGAGAGTGGCAAATAGAAGAATCTTTTTCCTTTGTTCTTTGGCCTAAACTTTGTGTTGGTGGAATCTAAGCTGCTTGTCGACACAGTTGCCGCTCGTAGCTCAAGTGATTGAATTGACTCTGCTCGTGTCTAAAACTTAAAAGAAAGGTGGGTTTAGGGTCATATCTGCCCCCTTGCTGCCCAGCTGCTTATTGTACTTGCAAATTGACGTTAATGTTCGCTCTCAGACAGCTTCAGCCCGCAGGTGTTGGTCGAAGCCGAAGAAGGATTTCGAGCATTATGTAAACATTGAAAACATTTTTTCGGTTGGATTTTATTATGCTTCCGCACACCCTAAGCCGGCATTTAAAGTTTACTCAAGGACTTAACTTGTTTTGGCCGTGGGGCACACTGCCAAACTGCTTAACTGTAACCCTCCCAACCCCAATCTCAATTCCAATCCCCTTCCCAAATGCCCCCTGCCAAAGTTCGTGTCCAAAGCAACTTTACCGTCAACTGCTCAATATTCATGTTTTTAATATGCAAATCAACATTTTTGGCTGAAGCAAGTTGCGCACTCTGCCAACAACTTTTTAGTTGGCATCTCGAGTGAATTGCTGCGTGCTCCACAATCCGCAGTCCGCAATCCACAATCCACATTCCACAACTTATTAATGTTTGATCAAGTGTGCGTCTTATCAAATTGAAACTACATTCGCCCATTGTCTGAGTTTTTGTTGTCTTTGTTGGGCCTCTCTCTTGTGAATTATAGTTATGGCCGGAAACTTACTGTTTACTCACATTTATTGGTTGTTAATGCCAGCATTGCTGCTGAAATACTTTACGAGTTCCGCGAGGCTGGAAGTTTTGCATAACAGTTTGAGAAATATTGGGAGATTTTACAGGCAGGCAGAAAATGTGGTTAATTATTTGTTAATTATGCGAAAAAGTTTGCTATAATCTGGGTGTCATTTTACCGATTGAAATTCAGAGCCGGAACCGGAATCGCAATTCAATAGTTGAGACATTTTGCAAACATGAAGGAAATATGATTGATTATTTATTTTTAAGTTTAACATTTTAACTTTATTATGCAGCAATCAGAATTGATATTGCTATTAATTAAATAAATGTAATATACTGAAGATAATTTGGAAAACATTCCTTATCCTTACCGAAGCTGACTTTACTTCAGTTTCTTTTAAAATGTTAACTTTAGGGTTTTAAATGTTTAAGAATATATTCTTTTGTTAGTACTAGAATTAAATGAATATACTAAAATGATGTTTCTATAAAAAACACATGTATTCTCTAACGTAAGCAGACAAAATAAACAGCGCCAACTGCCTTGTATATGGCTGCTCTGACAACATTGCGTATGCTTAACATGTAAAAACAATTTACAATGTTGTTGGTTTTGTTTTTTACTTATCACATTTGGGGCTGCTTTTGATAAGCCGAAAATTCACATGCAAAAAAGAGCTCTGCTTATCAATTTGAATACTTTATCTAAACTCGACCTTCCATTTTAGTACAGCTCGGCTGCAACAACAACAGTTGAGGGCACAAAAAGTCGCAAGTTCACTTGAAATAAACTGATTTTCAAACGCCACTAAGTAAGTTAAGTGTTATCCCTTCCCCCTCCCCGCAGCCTGCTACACCCCCTTTCTCTCCTCGTCAGCTAATTAAGTGCCGGCATAGCCGTTGGCTTTGCTGTCAAAACTGAAAATATGATGAATGAAGACCCGCTGTGCTCACAAACACTCACACACAGATTGTATTTGTTCCGCATTCAACATCCGCTTAAATTGAATACTCGTTAAAATAACAACAACATTCCTTACACCCACACACACACACACACTTCCACACACACTCGCATTCATGCGCTGATTCGGCTGAATTTTAATTGCTTTGATTACACATTCCCAGCTAGGGCAGGGGAGGGGCAACGGGTGGGGCAACGGGTGGGGGGTCTGCGCAGGTGTCCATGGTCCGGCACCACACCCGATCAGACCACCCCCACCACCCACCCCTTAATCAGAATTCAACGCCTGCTTATCGCCCAAAAACAGGCTGCATATGTTTTGTGCTAGGCCTCCAAAGCCAAAAAATCCCCCTATTTATATTCCCCTTAATCACCTACACACCTTATTTTGATTTTATTTTTTTTTGCTTCTCTTTAGCACAATTAACATTTGTTATTAGCTGTAAAATTTCTCAATTTTGATGAATTTATATCAACAACATCAAGCAACAATGTGCAGCGGAAAAATAATCAACAAAATTTGCTCATTTATATATATAAAAAGTATACGCAAAATGTAATTTACTCGCCAGATACATATAGACATATATCTTGTGTGTATATATATAGATGGGGAACATTTTTAGCTTTTTAGCCGTTTTTAAAATGTAATTAACGTGGCAATTTTGGACAGAGAGCATTCTGTCTCAGCTCAGCAAACTGCTGGCCTAATGACTATAATAAAGTATTTTTATTCTTTTTTTTTTGTGAAACAAACAAACAAATACATTTATACGACAATTTAATGGTGCTTAAATTATGTTGTGTGTGTGTTTTTCTTTTGTAATTCGGAAAATTAACAAGCGAGAGAAATTTGAGATGCTTTAAGGTGCTTGCTTAAAATCAGGATAAGCTTAATGGGATAAGGCTAATGATGAAATAAATTAGAGAGTTCAGCAAGAAGTAGATACCCTAAGTATTTACAAATTAAATGTGTAATTTATTTGATGAATGTGAGTCCACTCATTGTATTTATATTTGAATGCTTGAATGTTATTTTATTATTATATTAATTAATTAGTTAACATTATGGTATTTATTATTTTAATAATTGCAATTTGATAAATATGAAAATACGATTTTCTTGCATCGATTTTGATGAACTTTTATAGATGAACAATTTGATCGAATACACATATCCAATTAGAAACATGTTGTATAATTTTATTGCTATCGGAATCGATTTGTATCGATATTCGTTGGTTGCTAAGTTGGCAGAGTTATCGATCAAATGTATCTGCTTAAGTTAGTCTGCAGCTCTTATTAACTCTGAGATCTGGATATCGTTCAAAAATATATATATAGATTATGGGGTGTGGAGATGCTTCCTTCTACATGTTATATATTTCGCATTCGCAAAATAAAATATGAGATTTATCTTTATAAGAGAAGTCTTTTTAAATTTAATAACAATTTAGGTTTTTATTTAAACTTTTCAGACATTTATTTCATAATTATGAAAAACATTTCGAAAAAATATAAAAGAAGCCTTTCTAATTTTAACCAAGGAGAAAGAAATTTATTTCTTAGTTCAATTTCAATTAGCTAATTGGCTTCGCAGCAGAATTTGAAAAAATGCCTCAGTATTCAAACATCTGCGAATTGAATAAATGTTGTAGCATTATTTTCAATATTTATGACGAAAGATTATCCAAAGATTTATGATTGCTCTTTTATGTCGCTTATGGACAGAAAATTTGCATTTCTGAAGCCATTAAAAATTTATAATTGCAATAAAATGGGGCAGGCTACTAGTAACTACAAAATTGTGTGTGGCAAGGCATAAAGTAAAAAAAAAAGTTGTCGGCGGTTAATTTGAAAAGTTGATGCCCCAAAAGTTGCGGCAGCTGCTGCAAACATAAACTTTTCACAACTCTGATTTCCATACACAATTTTTCCATTGCAGGGTGAAAACTGTTGAGCGAGAAGAAGAAAAAAAAGCCGAGAATTCTGAGAAACTGAGAACTGAGCAAAGCGAAGAGAAACTGAGAGAAAAATGTCAGCAACCTTAGTACAAAATAATAACAACAACAGCAAATTCAACAAAAAGTCGAAACTGAATAGCAACTTGGGGCAGCAGCTGGATACGACGAGGATCAAAGGCAAACAAGGCGTGGCAAGCATATCGCTGATGCTGCAATACGATATCGATAACACGCTAAATGCGCTCAAGGAGCAAACGCAGCGAAATGCGTTAAATGCCGATAACAATAATCTGAACAAGGATCGGGACAACAATCTGGCGATGCCGGGTCAAAGTGAGACCCAACCCAACAATGAGGGCAGCCCCAGTCCTTGTCTCGAACTGGAAGTGGAAAATATTGTCAATGGCAAAGCGTGCTTGAGTGTCACAAGCAACAACACTTTTATGCCGCCCACGCCACCAGCCACGCCCAATTTACAGAATACGGCACAGAAACGTTGGCGCATCCTGGCCAAAGTGTTGCGCAAAGACTCCGAGGAGACGGTCAGCTCCTCCAGCGATGAGTTCAGCGAGGAGCAAACCGCTTCGGTGCGACGCTTCAAAAGCTTCGATCTGCTGCGCCAGGACAGCTTCGAGGATCACGTGAGCCTCAAGTGTCTCGGCAAGACGGAGAACTGGTACAAATATCGCATGCAGCTGCACAACGAAATCGAATACTCCGTCAACATTCATCACATGGAGCGACAGCTGACCGCCAACGATCTGATGGGTATGCAAACTGCCTTTATCTTTCTGGCTTTACTTTTTTGTTTATAATTGGAATATCCTAGAATGGTTAAGAGTAAACCATTCTAAGAAATGTATTGTTTTTATTTAAATCGTTTTAGTTTTGAGAAAGTTAAATTGGGGTTGAAATCTGATTACTTTTGACAAAGTAAGGCTATAAATAATCTTGTTAATGTTGTCCTTGAATATTGGTTTTATTAGTAGAAACCATAAAAGATAATTCATAACGTACTCTGACTTCTATCGATACATCTGTCGTGCACTTATCGATATGCATATATTTTTATATATAACATCTATGTAATAAATGAAATTGAAATTTCTTACAGGTTTCAATAACACGGGAAACATATGTGTTTGGCCCTCGGAGGAGGCACTTACCGCTTTGGTATTATCCGATCTGGCCGCGTATCGCGGCAAATGGATATTGGAGCTGGGTGGTGGCTTCACCTCCCTGGCTGGACTGATGTTGGCCAAGTACGCGAAGCCGTACGCGGTTCATCTGACGGATGGGAATGAGGTGAGCGTGGAGAATGTGCGTAAAACAGTTTGCCTCAACGAGCTGAGCTGCTACACGAAGTGCTCGGTGCTGAAGTGGCAGGAGTGTTCGGCTCGTGCCCAGGCGGAGCAGTTCAAGTTCGAGTACATATTGTGTGCGGATTGTCTGTTCTTCGATGAGGCGCGAATGGCGCTGGTCGATACCATCTGGTATTATTTGGCGCCGCAGGGTGTGGCGCTCATCATGGCGCCCCGGCGCGGTCGCACTCTGAATGTGTTCCGGGATGAATGTGTGGCGCGCGGATTTCGTGTGGAGCTTGCCACACGCTACAATGAGACCATCTGGCAACGCCATCTGCAGCTCAAGGCCGACTCGGCCCTCTACGACGAGGATCTCCACTATCCTCTCCTGTTGCGCCTCTGCAAGCCCCTCAGCTAGATGGAGCCGTCAATCTTCTGTAGTTTCAATTAAAGTCCTTTTTAGTTCATAGCAAAACAAATTCCACTTTACACCTAATTTACACAAAAAACACCAAAATCAGTGGCCCAAATAGAAATGCGGGCCCAATTAAAATTATTCCTCCCACAATGCAAACCAAAAAAAAATAAATAAATAAAATATAAAAATAGTTATCTAAGAAAAAATGTAGCAAAATTTTTGGTTCCCAAAAAAATAAATAGTTTTAATTAACTTTTCAACTAGTCTTAAATAAAAAAAACCTGTTAAAAGTGTTTTAAAAATTACTAAAAATGTGGGAATAATAAACTAGCTAACTGGAATACAAATGTAAACCTCGAGTTCAGTCTGCTGAAATATCTCATAGCCAAAGAATGTAGCAACTAGCACCTGAAGTCAAAAATATCTAAAAATGGTTTATATTATATTATATATATATCGTTAAGAACCAACCAATTTAAGCTAAGTCATTTTAAAAACTAACTACAAAAATTCCTTTGATATGTAAATTTGTATGGATTTGCGTTATTGATTCCACAGTTATGTAACCTAACACACAAATACTCCATTTTATTGATATCAACACACACAACACACAAGCACACACAGATACACAAGTATTATTTAAATTTGTAGCATAATTTTAGGCGAGACAAAAAAAAACAAGAAAAACAACCACAAATTTCCTTAAACTAAAAGATACAAAATAAAATATATATATATATATATATATATATAGAGATATATAGTTATATAGACATAAAGTAAAATAGTAAACGTTGCCAGCGCTCGACCAATTAATGAATAGTTCAATAAATTTAGTTGATGTAATTATAGAGCATGTGTTAATCGTTATATGATGAATGTGAATGTGAATGATGATAATGATCAGCACAATGTTGCTGTAATTATGATGACGACAATGATGATGATGATGATGATGATGATGATGAGGATGATGATGATGATGATCATTACAAATACAGTATCAAATGCCACACACAAATTTACTCTTTATTTCTTCCGCCTCCTTCCTCTCTCTCTCTCTAATCATTAATGGACAGGATGTGGGCCAGTAAGTATGCCACGCCCCCCTTTTGCCCAACCCCTTTGTGTGTCCTTTTGCCAGTGCACAAAATGATGTCAATGATAATTATCGACGCGAGTCGTTTATTAAAGAGTATTAGCGCTTTTTATAGCGCCACTCGCGTGGTAATTACTTTAATTGCGCCACTGCCACTGCCACTGTGACAGGACATTGTTCAGCGCAACCAGGACAACCAGGGGGACCAGGACGTGGAGTGTCGGATATATGACGACGTCAGCATTTCTGCTGCGGTTCATGTTATTTGAGCTTCAGGCAAGCATTTGATTGTTTTCCATCTCCTTTTTTGTTTATTGCTTTGCTTAACTGTCAGTTCGAAAGACTAACCGAATATGATTGAGTTTTGAGTGTATTTTACTGATTATTGATTGGGCATACTCTATAAGGTGTATGTTTCATAATGAGCATTTATCGTATTCGTTTCGACAAGTCTAAAATTAAATCTAGCTTGAATAACTAGACAAGGGTCTTTTCATCCCTATCGACTTCTTCTACTGGTAGCTAACTTTCAGCATATATAAAAATATAATTAAAAACAATAAATAAAAAAAAATATATATTTTTAAAATCATCATATTTAGCAAGATTTTCTATATTCCTTAGCAAAACTTTAAAAATATAGACTTTACTGTTGGCTAACGTATAATCTAACTGGATCTTTGTCCCATTTTTTAGTTTATGATATTCCTTGAGTAGAACTATGTTTAATGCAGAAAAACAGGGTTTATTGATTTGGTAGTTTTAATATATTGCCAAAATAGTATTTAGAACATGACAAAACTTCCATCCTTATTTACCAGCCTACAGGCTTCTTTTAATGATGTTATAGTCATGTGTGAAGATCCTAAATAAACAAGGGAAGATAAACAGAGTAACTATCTATTTGGTGCCAGGCCAAACAGGCATTCTGGCAAATAAATTCTCTGACGTTCTTCCTGAGCCTTTTTGTGGCCGAAAAACTGCTGGGCAGCCATAACTGGAAATTTGCTGATGATTATCTGGATATGAGTAATAACTGTAGTCAGATAATAACAGGCTAGCTGAAGGGACATTTACACAACCTACAAATTGTGGCAGATGCCTTATGAAGACTTTACTTTGAGAACAAATTCTGATAGATTAGATTAAGTAGACTCAGCTAGAAGCCTACATCTTCAATAGATGTAGAGAAATGATAAGTCTGAGAGCAGGAATAGTCAAGGTTTTCCCGAACATAATAGGGATATAACTTACTACAAATATTTACTATATATAAAATATACAAAACTTAAATAGACTATTAGATATATTACAGGGTATTTGAACAGTCACCATTCATCAAAATTTGAGCAGGATTTGTTTGCATTGTGTTTTGGGTACCAGCTAAAAAATCAAAAATAAAAATAAATCTGATAAGCGCAAATTACAAAGCAAACTCAAACAAAATGCACACACACACAAATACACACACACACACCCCTCCATGCGTATACTCGAAGTCGTTTGCGAGTGTATGTGTGTGTGTGAGTGTGTGTGTGAGTGTGTGTGTGAGTGTGTGTGTGAGTGTGTGTGTGAGTGTATGGGTGAGTGAGCGAGTGTGCGTCATTAACGAGGTCATTGGTAAGTAAGCTTGTTTGATGTGCTCGAGACATGTAATCCTGGCTGGGGAGCACAAAGTCAAACAATCGACAGCAGTTGCCTAGTATCTGGAGGCGTGTGTGTGTGTGTGTGTGTGTGTAGGTATGGGGGATGTGTGGGGTGAGTGGGGGAGTGGAGAAGGTGACAGTAGGTCGCGGCAGTAGGAAGTCGTGGCCAACACTGCGTATACGCGACATTTTGTTGGACACGTGGAAGCCATGTCAATTTTCGTCCAGCTGGGTTTCTGCCTGCTAATGACATGCGACTGCTATGCAAATCAGGATACTTGGCGACGACCACTCAATTATACGCCACACATGCGCAACCCAGCAACACACACCAGCACACAACCGCACACAACCGCACACCAACACACACACACACTCACTCGCATGCATAATGTACACTGAGAAAACAAAGAAAACTTATAAACAGCTTGTCAAATTAAATTATATTTTGGTACCTGTTCTAATTAGAGTTACGAATGGATTCCTAACTGTTTTCGATATGAGGATTATTATGTAAACTAAAAATTGCTGTTAAATTAATCGGTTTTTAAAAAATGTTAAGTTGCTTCTGTGGGTTAGGAATTTCAATTGGAAAAGTGTCAGTTCCAGTTCTAAAATTTGAAACTCACGAATAATACAAAGGATAGGATTTGTTTTCGGCATTCGTTTCCTTTATATTACTAAATGGACTTAAAGTAGCAGTTCTTTTCAAGTATTTTTCTATTACTGAATAAGACTTATGATTTTTTATTTTCAACCACAAATGATAACGTATAATTTCAGAGTGCAATCTTGCTCGATCATCAACGAATAAAAGCTTAAAAGTAGCACATATTTGAAACTGTTTTTTCCCAGTGTAACCTGCTTGGCAGCAACAACAAAAAACGTTGCCTACTTTCAGGCACATTGTAAAAACTCGCTTTGGGTTTTGGCGTTTTTCATTGTCTTTCAAGCCATTTCGAGTAAGGTCAAAGAAGAGGGGCGACGAGAACAGGGCTGCATTAGGATTGGGCTTGGGTTTGTGTTTGGGTGCTTGTGGGCGTGGCAAGTGATTTGGCAAACACATTTCAATTTGCGCATTGTTTGCCATTCTGCTTTGCCTTTGTGCTCCACTGTGTGTGTCTGTGTCTTTGGTGTGCGGCAATCCCTTTGAGCCTCATGGGAAACTTGCCAAAGAGTTTCGTTCTGGCCAACAGGTGATCCATGTTGCATGCCCCGCTGGAGTGTTATTTTTAGTCAAGAGTCTCTCGTTCAATTTTTAATTAGCAAAATTAGTCGAATGTGTTCAAAGAGCACTAGAAATGTTTGTGAACTCAAATTGCTTTTTCCAGCTCGGTCAGTGTCCTTTAATATGGCTCTGAGGACCTGCTAACGTCATACATGAGACAGCGCAGGTGGCTCATTATATAATGATGGCCAACTTAGCCATGGCCTTGACATATCACAAAAAAAATAAGGAAATATTGGGCTTACACACACACACACACACACACACTTAGAGTGTGTATTTTAAGTATACAGCTGTCTCATTATCATATAAATAGTTGACATAATTCATTATTAAATAGGAAATTACATCGCGTGTTTGTAAATTAACAGGTTCGGACTTGGGAAATAGGGCAGAACAACACGGAAATTATGTGATACAAAAAGCAAAATGTTGGCGGGAAATCAAACAAAAAAATTAGAAAGGTCTAGATCGAGATAAGGATAAAAATAAACGCATTATAAGCATTCGAGTTTGAATTAAATGATTGGGAATAAGTATGGAAAAATGAAAGAATAGAAAAGCAAAAATACAGAAATAAATCAACTTGTCGACAACGAACTTTCACTATAAATTAAAAAAAAACCCGATAGATTATTAAAATGAAAGGTTTAGACTTTAATAGAGCCATTTTAAATATATCTTGTAGGTGAAGATCATAATAAAATAGTTTTCCACACATGACCGATTGGAGATGTGAATTTTACAAGTTTGCCAAAGATTTATTTTGTAATCAAGCATATTTAATTATTGTCTGATTTTCTTTAATTTATAGGTATCCCTTTCACTTTCCATGAAATGCCTATTTTCTTACATTTTATTTGCGTTGAATCGAATATTTTTAATTAATATATTCGTTCACTTTATGTACGAATTAGCGTCTTATTTATTGATTATTAATTTATTACACGCTAAATCGTCAAATTACCTTTAAATACATCTTATGTGATGTCAATTAAAATTTCTTTAATCACTCTCGATACACATGTTTTTGACAGTCCAACTAAATAGCATTAAAGCCGTACAAAGTCGAAAAAAATGTTATTACGCAACTAGCATTAAAATGTTTACAGTTATTATTAATTTATAGCAACAACAATCAAATACGGTAAAGTGACAAAAAGCGTGCGCTTTTTACTGTCAGTTGGTTGGCAAAGTGAAATTGTTGATGTTCGCATATATGTTTTTTTCATCTTCATTTTAATTGAATTCGTTTTGGGGGAGTTTCATGTTTTGTGTGTGTGGAAATAATGCTCATGAATAATGCTCATGAATAATGCTCTGAAAAGAAGCTAAAAAATCAGCAGCTAAATTTTGGTCACTATAGAAAACTAATAACAATAATATTGCTGATTAAGCATTAATCAAAGCAGCGCTGCCAACAACAAAAGCGCTGGGAAACTAAACAATAGGCTTCGACCAAAAACCAAAAACCCAAAACAAAAAAAATAAAAATGAAAAAGGGAAAGCGTCTTTTTGGGTTTTTCAGCTGCTTTGCGAAGAGTTATTTGACTTTGCCTTAATTATGTAAAAAGGTTTGTTTTTCGTTTTATTTGTTTTTTTTTTCTAATATGGATTTTTAATTTAGAGCTTGTAAAATATATAAAACACACACACACACACAAACACACACACATTGAGTTTTCCAAAAGATAAGCGGCTGCTGATAAGCGGCCCCAGTTCCTGGTTAACACGTCTGGTATTGGGTCTGCGGCTAAACTTATTACAATAACAACAACAACAACGAGAGCAGCCAAAAACCGAAAGCATATGCTAAACATATGACAAATGCAAAAGAGAGAAAGAGAGAGAGAGAGAGAGAGCGAGAGAGCGAAAGCGAGCTTTTGCACTCTCACGCTGAAAAGCTCTCTCAGCTTGCTGTCGCGGCCTTGGCATTGCTCTCCTCTGCCTTGCAAACAGCTGTTTTTGGCGTGCACAGTTCTTGGACGCTGCAGCTGTCAGTTGTGCGACGCCAGCAAACGCGTGCGGTTGTCGTTTCGAAAGCATAGCGCTTGCTTATTTTGCCGTTTTTCATTGTCCAAATCCAAAAACAAAACGCGTAACATCAAAAAAAAAATATATATTTTGTGTAGAGTGACTAAAAAGTGATATTTTAAATAAATATAAATATATACATAAGAAACCAATTTTTTGAAAAATCAAGCCCAACAAAGTAATAAAGTACAAAACGAAAAAAATAACCCTTAAATAAAGCCAAACGACAAGAAGCAATTTGTGCCGCCCAATTGACACACATTTGATGCAACAACAACAAAAACAACAGCAAACCACGACAGCAAGAGGCACACGAAATTTCATAAATCAAGCACAAATAATGTCAAACAAATCAATGGGAGTCAGCAGCAGTAGCAAAAATAGCTGCTGCTGTTGCTGCTGCCACATGTTGCTGTTGCTGCTGCTGATGTTGCTGCTGCCAGCAATGCCAAATGCTGCAACAGCAGCACGACGCGCCCGAATAACAGCCAGCCACACCAACAACAGCAACAACAATGCAACACTGACAGAGTCCACAGCTAAATTGAAAACATCTGCAGACGGTGGCGGCGGCGGCGACAACAGCAGCAGCAGCAACAATGTAGCAGTCAACAAATATGGTAAGTCCTATAAAGACAAAGAAGAAGAAGAGGAGAAGTAAGCAAGAACAATGCCACTAGACACGCATACCCTTGCAGCAAGCAAAATCTATCGATTCTTCATACATCAAATTCATATAGTCAATTTTGAAGTCAGATATTTTTCAACTTTCATTAAAACAACTTTAAAATTCAGCTAATTAAATGCATAATGCCTTTATCAACTTAACACTTATATCGCCTTAATTCTTGATAATCAGGCATATATAAGTATATGCATGTACCTCCTCACTTTAGGTGTTCAAATTAAAATACCCTTCTTCAAAGTTGCTGCAGCAAAACTTGTCTCTAGCATTTTGTGTTCCTTATGCTGGCTGCCTAATTGCATTTGGTCACGATTTCTGATCTTGCAACGTGTGCATTTTTTATTTTGTTGTATGTTTGTATGTTGTATGTCTGTGGCTGTCTGCCCCAAAGCAGACCTCGTTTGCAACAGGCAGCAATATAAAGGGTTGCCCTTGGCAGCGAAATTGTTTCACGCCGCGCGCGTTCAAAAGCAAAAAAAAGAGGGAATAAATCAAAAGACTTAGGCAACAAACTTGCGGCATTCGCTAATTTTAGCTAGTTTATGCCAATCAAACACATGCATTGCACTTATGCCGACATTTCCTGTGGCGGTGGCAGTGGCAGCGGCAAAGAGTGTCCGCTGCCCCAGAACCGCAAAACAGTGGCGGAAATTGCGGCAGCATTTTTTTCTCATTTTTTTGTTAGTCTTTTTTCTTTTCTTTTTTTTAATGATGGGTTTGGCTGAGAGCAAAAGTGTCATTAGGCCAGGCTAAAATGCCAGTGCTTAGGTCAACTAAGTCGGCCATCAATACCACTGACTCGTACAATTTGCTGTCTTTTAACCGAAAATAATCAATGGCATACGTAACCGACGACGTAATACACTAATCACAGCTGACAAACAGGCGGGAAAACAGCGTTTTGATTGTAATACAATCATCTTAAGACGCTGACTATAACTGGGGCGGTTGTGGGCATGGTGCATGGGCTTGATACGACTATAAGCTTGATTTTTATTGCATACCACAACACTACACTTTTATAATCAACCAAAAACCAATATTTTTCTGCCAACCAAATTTAATCTCAGCTTTTCAAAGTTAATAAAAATATGCATATATTTTTTCATATTCACTTGAAATAACAAATTTTTATATATATGAAAAATATATCACAAATTTGTATGTTTTTATTTAATTAAAAATTTAACATGAAAGAAGAATTATTCATTATTTTTATTTCAAATTAATATAACTAATTTTTCTATGATTTTCATAATATGTTTTCCAATTTTAAAAATAGTATTCTTTCATATAATAATAGTAATAAAGAATAAAGACTTAAGATTATAAAAAGTTAACTCTTTCTGACCATTTCTAGATAGGAGAGGCTTCTGATCAGTCAGTGAAGCTTGACTTCAACATATCTGCCTATAAGTTAAATATATATAAAGACTTTAATAAGTGGGACTCAGCGTTTATCCCAATACTGTCCAAAAATGTCAACCAATATATTCCAAGCTCAAATTCTCCAGCGTAATAAAAGAAATTAATTTGCGGACAGATTCTTTTCCCTTGGCGAGAGAAAAAAAGCAGAGAACAATAAGTAAAAAACGTGCATTACATAACATGTCACACGCTTTGCAACGCTAAGTGCAGCGTCATGTTGCAAGCAACTGACAGCTGACAACAGTAGCAGCAGCAGTAAAAGCCGCAGTGAAAATCGCTGGCTGGTAAAAGCAGGCAACTGAGTGAAAAGAAAAAAATCATTAATCAAGCGATTTATTTGCTGATGCTGCAACGCGTGCAACTGTTGCAAGTTGGCCAGTTTGTCATTCATCTCAAACATGCGGACAGTTTCTAATCAGTCGCAGTTGTCGATGAAGAAGACGTCGTCTGGTCGAACTTAATGTTGCCTGTTCTATTGGCAGATCTCTCAGATCTCTCAGAATGGTGCCAACTTGAATTTTCACTTTTCCATGTTCTTCATTTATTTAGCTTTTTTTTACTTACTTATTTATTTTTCTCTCTTTGTGTGAAATTCGCCTAAATGCCGAATGCCGAATGCAGGCACGGAGGCGGCCACGCGAATTCAAAATTGGTGTCAATGATTTCAACATGGGAAAATGCAGCTAGCAAAGCAGCCAGCAAACAAACAACAAACAAACAACAGCAACAACGACAACAACAAGAACAACAACAGCCAAATAACCAAACAACATTTCAGCTGAAATTGCATTTCTAATTGCGCATTATGCAAGAGTGGAAATCAAGTGGGAAAACGCACTTAAAATGCCTCAAATGCCTATGCCTCAAATGCCTCATGTGTCATTCTGTCGATTGATGCCAAATTTGAGCATAGTAGTTTCTGTACTTCACGAAAAATAACAAGAAAGATTGAGTATCTTACACAGGCCTTACAGGATTACATGCACTTGCCCACAACTAACTTTCACTGTAAATTTAAAAATAGCGATTAATTTTTGCTATGGGCGCAATTTAGTAGATCCAACGTAATAATTTAATCATTTCTTTGTTCAAATTTGATGAGCATAATAACACAAATAACAAATAACTAAAATGTTTTTCTTAAAAGAGCTCATCTTTCGAAGGATTGTTGCTATATTGTAGCTATATAATACACTAGTCCGATCTAGATGTTGGCTTGGGAAACAACAAAGTTTCTTGTCAAGAACTTAGCACATTTTTATTGTAGTTACGATTGATTAAGATTTTTCATTAATGAGTCTTAAATGAAGGGATTTATCATGTATTTGTTTCTAGTTGAATACAACAAGAATTACTTGCACAAAATTGTATAACAAAATTTAACAAACTCGATAAACATAAGCCATATAATAGTCTATCATAAATAGGAAATAGCTTCTTTAATGAAAGGCTTAAACTGTTTCTTTTTATATATTTAATGGCTACATTTATTAATCATGTTCATTCTCCGAGAGATAAACGAAAGTTCAAAAATATACAGTTTAGTAGTTAGTAGTTGTTCAGTGAACTGCAACTGTCTGCACACAAAATTAGTTACACTTTTGTAATTACCTGTTGCTACTTCCTCGTTGAGCAGCGCTTAAGCCACATTTTGTGGCAGCCAATAACTCAGAGCACTCCAGTAGCAAGCGGCGGCAATCAGTTAGCTGAGCATGCTAATTCCCGGCACACTTCCAGCCAAATCCGCCATCACCTGTGTGTGGTGCAACAAACACGATCTTCTTTCCAGCTGGGTACGAGCAACTACACCACTTAGTGGTGCAATGCCCATTGGCAGCCAGAAAAAGAACAAAAAATAGAAAACAGACGACTTTAAAGTTTCTTTTTAGATTTGTTTTTTTTTTTTTTTTTGGAAACAAGTTATTGGCTTTTAGCTGATTTGCATGCAAGAAGCGACTTTAAAGTTGGGCCAGCAGTTGCAGTTGCATCTGTTTTGTCGCATCCAGCAGCAGCAGTTGACTAACCCCATTAATATATATATATATGTATATATCCATTGTATGTTGTATATATATTGTATTTCTTTATATTCCCATTCCCATTCCAAAACAAAAACAACCAAAAAAACAAAACAAAACACAGAGATACGCGGCGTTGCTGGTGAACCAAATTACAAATCGGTGAATCTGACCTGGGAAGTTGAGTTCGTGACGTCGGCCCATGACACAGATACCAAGAGGAATACCAATTCGAATACCAATACGAATAACATTTCGAATACGAATACAAATGCGCTTGTGGATGGCGTGACAAATATGAGCGACGATGTGGAACCACCCAAAGCATTTCAGATCTTCTACTGTGAAATCCAGAACTATGGAGCCCAACGCTGTCGCGTCAAGCTGGTGAATGCCACGGCTGCCGTTGCCGTTGCCACCAACGATCTGCTGCCCACACCAGGCGATGATCATGTGGAGTAAGTGCCGCATTAAAAACACTTCACTTTTTCTCAACTACTACTTTCTACACTAAAAAAAACAAACAACAATGGATTTCAAATTGACTAGTTCAACAGCAATAACTTTTCATTAACAACTTTTTCAAACTTTACTTTTATTTCATAGATGTTGAAAGGCTTTCCCTTTTTAGACTAGAACAAAACTAAGTTCTTTATTTCATCTCTTCAAAATAATTTGAAACTTTTAAACGTTTATCTAAAAGTATAAAAGTAAACGCATTTTGAACTTATGAAATATTTTATATAATGTAGGGAAAAACCATTTATTTTTTTCTATTTCTTTCTTTTTCTTTGTTCCTAGAATACCTAAAATGTTTAAAAAAATTTAGAAATTTTCAATTATAGATTCATATTAGAATTTTGTAAACATTTTTCTTATTTCGAACTTAAAGAAAATTTCTTTGTTATATTTAAAAAATCAGTCAATCTGAATTCAACATTTGAGAAAAATCTTATTTTCTATCTTAACATTTTTTTTTAATTTCTCTTTAATATTTTCTATTATTTTTTTTTGAGTGTTTATTTTACGGTTTCGCTGACCTTTCTGCTCTCACATCTCTTGCAGCACTCAAGTGCAACACTTTGCTGCCGCCGTAGATAATCTGCGAATGGCGACCCGTTACAGCTTCCACATACGTCCCATGCCGTCGCATCGACAGCGCAGCAGCAGCGCCCGCTCAGACTTCCGTGCGGAGGAGAACGAGATCGAAGGTGGAGGCGAGAGCGGAGGTGCAGCTGCAGCTGCTGCTCATCTGCCTGGCCAGAGCATCGTTATACCCACCAAGGGCTGTAAGTAGTCGGTAGTAAAACAAACTTGACTCCTTCACCTGCCACATTCCTCCACATTCAGTCTCTGCCCATGCCACACAATGCTTGGCGCATGCCTCCGAAATTGAGGTGGAAACGGGTCCCTATTTTGGCGGTCTCATTGTTGTCGATGGCGGCGACTGTGGCATCAAGGGCAATGCCAACGATCCAGCCGACAAGTACACGATGAGAATCGACCACAAACAATGCGGCAGCATGGTCAAGCCGGAGACGAACACAGTGGAGACTTTCATCACGGTCCAAGAGAATTTGGGCATTTTTACGCACAGCACGAGACGGTAAGAAAATCGAAAGGAAAAGTCATTATTGAAGATTGAAAATGAGGGTTTGAAACCGGAACCGGAAGAGCAACTTTACTGGTTGTTATTCAGAAACAATTCATAGCATTTACTGAAGTCTTTGGGAGCTGTTTTCAGATCGAAAAAAAGTGAAAAAGATTTGCTGATAGCCAACAAATAAATAAAGTAGTTCTTGACGTCTTTTTCTTTGTTCCTTAACTGTTCAGAAAATCCATTCAGGCTTGAAATGAGTTAACAGTTTGGATTTCACTTTTGCCGTCAACCAAAAAGCAAAAAACATGAAAAATTTCGCGAGTCGTTTTACAGTTTTTTTTGGACATGCAGTTTTTTATTGGCGATAACTTTTTGCGATCTGAAAACATGACTTTGGAGACTTAAACCAATAAAAAGACTCTACTCTATATTGTCTGCTTAGTGCTTAAACTAGATTGTCAAACCGGAAGGGGAAATGGCAACTTTATTGCTTTAATTCCATTTATAAACTCTACCGGAAAATACGATTCCGTTAACGATTTAACAAACACTTAACTAAATCACAAAGTGCTTTGATTGATAAGAAAATATTTGGAATAATTCTCACTTCCAATTTACCACCATCTGCTCTCTTCCCACTCTCCGCCAACCCGCAGCTTTGTCGTCGTCTGCAGCTATCAGTCGGGCATGCAAACTGTGCGCGCCAGCTTCACCGTGCCCGGCAGGAATAAAGCAGGCGTGGCAGCCGCTGTTGAGCCATCAAGCGATCCCTTCCAGCCGGACGATGAGGAGCGACTGGGTCGTGAGATGCGTAACATGCGCTTCGTGGACAAAAGCGAACTGGTGCTCAAGGAATCCGATCAGGAAGAGTCCGTTGAAGAGCCAGCTTTCGTGCTGGAAACGCAACCACCAAAGTTGGCCAAGGAGCAGTCAACTCCAGTTGTGGAGGCGCTACAGCCACCAGCAGCTCAGAGTCGACAGCAGGGACGCGCCTTGACCCTGGCCAGCTTAAGTGAGCTGAACAACTTGGCGCTGCTGGATGTGGAGGCGGAAGAGCAGGAGCTGAGCAGCAAGTATGCCAAACTGGTTGTGGATCAGAGGCCGGGTGGCGCCGCCTGGACGACAAATGATGCCAATGATGATGAGTGTAAGTAGATGCATACAGATTATGCGCAACAAACAACAACAACTGCAACTGCAACTGCAACAGCAACAGCAACTGCAACTACAACTACAACATTGACCGCCTCCATTGACAATCGTGTTTTGCTTTCTTCCTGCTTGCCCCCCGGGCTTGATTCTTTTCCCCCCTTCACCATACAGTTTATGTCGCGCCGCTGCGTTATATAAGCGCCAATCTGGGCAGTGTGCTGGTAACTGTTTCCATATCTGTGATAATCATCAGCATTTGCATCGTTCTGCTGCAGCGACATCGATTCCCCAACAACAGCAACAGCAACAGCAACAACAACAGCAACTACAACAGCAACAGCAAGTTGCATTCGCATTTGGCTACAATCAGCTGCCCCGCTGCCCATCTGCCGCATAAGACGCTGCCCCGTGCGCTTCAGCAGCAATATCAGTGCACCTTGTAAACCCATCAACTCTACACTCAGAAAAATTAAGGGCGTCAAGCATTTGAAAGTAGACTAGTTAGGGAATTGCGAGACAACAAAGATCTCCAAATTCCTGCAAATTTTCTATTTAAATATTGATATTATTTTACTGCACAAAACTAAATTGAATTTTTCTGAAATGTAGAAAGACTTCAGCTAAAAGAAATATTTTTTAGGTTTTTCTAAATAATTTTTTTAAATTATAGAAAGAAGATATAAGCAGATTTTTAAATAGCGCTTGCAAAAATATTTTTTCATCTTTTTCAAGAGTTTTTTTCTTATTTATTTTTCTAAATTATAGAAAGAAGACATGCAAATTTTGAGAAAGCTCTTCAAATTTATACATTAGCACACAGAAAAGAAAACTCTGTCACATATTTTTCTGAGTGTAGCATTGAACTCCATCAACTCCTGCCGTCTATGCCCACTTGTCTTGCTGAAGCCGAGGTTGCCGCTGGCAACTGCCTAACCCATTTAGCTAAAGACGACTGCGCATAGCTTGGGCCACAGTGCCTCCAACCCCAACTCCGACTCCACCTCCAATTCCAACTCCAACTCGATTCTCCCATCTGCCCAATCCAATCTGAACTCCCACTTGGGAGCTGGCAACTGGCTCAATCCCAAAACGGTACTTACGGGATCAGCAGTGGCAGGCTGCGGCTGCGGCTGCGGCTGAGGCAGAGGCAGCAACCCACACACAACTGATTGTCTGTCTGTCTGTCTATCTGTCTGTCGTATCGTAATTTATGGAAATTTACAAGTTACATTTAATCTAAGTTCAACACTAGACTATTTATTATTTATTCCTTTTGCTGTGCAAATCTATACGATTACTAGGAATATAATATCTTTATATATATACATATATATATACAGCTGATTAGTGCTTAGTATTTTATGCTTAAGTTTTTGTATAAACTACCTATTTATTATTGTCAAATATATACGAGTATACATTTATTTTATGAATAAAAATAATATAAAAACAAACTAAAGTCTTAGTTATTTTATGGTAAACAGTTTTTATATAAATTGGATATGGAGCAGCATTTGGAACCATGTGGAAACATTATTTCTGACAGAAATATTATTTCTAAATGTATGCGTAATTTTTAGAGATATCCAACAAACTAAGAACCAATTGAAAAGCAGCACAGAGTTAGTTTTACAAACTTAAGAAAGCTTTTAATTAGTTTATAATAATTATCAAAAAATGGTTAACAATGGATAAGTGAGAAGTCTTCAAAGTAGATAGCTCTACTAGGAGGTACTCCGAACCCAAACCAACACTCTGAAAAATACGCAAATAAATAAATTATATATAGATCTATACATTCAGAGAGACAGAAATGGCAAAATTGCCTCGGCTGTGCCTGATTTATAATTTATGGGGTCGAATGTGTTGCCTTCTGCCGATTTCATATTTTTACGCAACTTCATTGCACACTTTGAACTTTTTAAGTTGAGGGTATAAAAAAGAATTGAGTTCGCATTTGTGAATAAAAGCTGTTTATGCCCTTGAGCCTAGTCGAACTGTGTGTGTTCTCGCAATTTGCGAGCCAGACATGATGGTTTTGTAATTCCAAAGAACTGGTCACGGGCGCCTCGTCAAACGTATATCATAATCATAGTCATAAACATAATCATTAGCATTAGCATTCGCATAACACAGCAGACAGGGCTATATTTAAATATTGCAAAGAAAAAACAATTTCTTTTAATGATTCCATCCAAGAACATAAATGTCGAAGTTGTTGCGTTTTACGACAACAACAAATTACGAAATTATGTTAAGACTAAGAATAGCAACAACAACAACAACAACAATGCAACGGGCAACGGGCAACGGGCAACGGGCAAAAGAGTTAACAGTCAGCGGACAATTTGCATGAAAGTGGCACAAAATGTTGTCAACAAACGTTTTCAGTTTTGTTTTCTGGGTTCTTGAACGGAAGCCGGCAGATAAAACAGCAAACAACAGCAACAATAAACATTAAACACACAGCAAACCGACAAAACACAAACTTTAACTTCAACTTCAATAACGTCGTTTTCTTGATTGCCCAATATGGCAGAAATATTCATTCAACATCGGGGCTTAAACATCTCAGCTGGGGTCTTAAAAAATTAACTTTCCGATTGAAGTGCTTTCTGTGTGTGCCTGTGTGTGTGTGTGTCTGTGTGTGTGAGGAAGGAAGGGAAAATGCTTAAATGGATTTTGCATACAAAACCCATTAGGCATTTTTAATCATCATTTGAGATATAGATATATACATATATATATATATATATATGTATGTATAGGCACTCATATGGAGCATATTTGCGTATTAGTGTGAGTCTGAAAGGTTTTGCTTGGACCATTGTTGCTGTTATATTATTATTAGAACACAAAAACCAAGTGAGCGTTAAGATCGCAAGCAGATGGAAAAACTTTCTCATCTGCTCACAGCTACACTCAGCGAAAAGGGCGCATTGCTACTTAAGCAGGGCAGCCCAGCTCTGTTTTTAGAAAGTGAGTTTTTAAGAAAAGCGTTTATCTTATTTTAGACTTCGTATTTTTCGTATCTCAATTATCAGCTGGGTTGTTAAAAAATGTATAAGCAACACTTATAAAGTTTAAGAAAAGATTATGCATTTTATCAATATATTGTTTACGATACCTTCGGAATACTCCTTTCATATCTACTTTTCAGAATATATGATTCTTGAAAGGTATATTTGCAAATTACAAATGAGTTTATGTAAGATTATATACAATTAACCACATTACCAATAACATTAACTTTTTATCACTATTTCTAAGGAAAAGGGTTTCAGGTAGCTTAGTACTCATTTCTCAGTCATATATTTCTACGAGTGCATTGTCCATCGGATGAAAGAGACCCAATTCAAATTTTATAAAATGTTCCCCGTACATTATTTGCACAACTTGCAAATAGAAAAACCGCAAGAAAAGGGTTCCAATCAGACATTTCTTCGAGTGTACTGTGTGGCAAGTGGACGTCACCTTCACCCATTTCTCAATGCGAGCTGCTCTCAAATTTCACCCACTGTGGGCTTTGACGTTGATTAGCATGTGGCATACATAAATCTTGAGTGTCTTCGGGCTTCCGTTTGTTTCCCTTTTGTGTGCACGCAGAACAACAAAATGCTGAAGATCTTTTTAGCCTCAACTTCTTTTTCTTATTGCTTTTGGTTTTTTTTCTCTATTTTTTTGCGATTGCTTTCAATGTTTAGGCGAGCAGAACAGTTGCACTTATTATTTAAAAGAGATGACTTTGAGCTGATCTTAGACTAGGCTTTATAATGAGGCCAACGCTCTTGGCCAGAAGCAGCCAAACAACTTAATGAGACACCAACAACAACAACAACAACAAGAACAGCAACAACAACAACAACAATGTTGATAGACCCACAGCAGCTGCCTTTGGTTATTGTTGTTAGAATGCGAGCGCGAGCCTCTCGTTGAAAGTAAAAATGGTTTGTGAAAGTTTTTCTTTTGTAAGCATTGCTCAGTTTTTAAATTGCTTTTGCCAAAAAATAAAATAAAATACCCAAAAAAAAAAAATAGAAATAGAAAAAATAGTTTAAAATCATACGCATCTAAGATCTGCCACAGTTCATGGGATCATTATTCTTTGCTCGCTTGGATAATTAACATTAAGCAATTGAAAGCGAACGAGAAAGTTTTCAACTCAAAAATGCTTGCCACAGATTAGGCTCCATACTCAAACTACTCATTGTGTCCTCGTAGTAACCTAAGCAGCACCAACTCATTAGTCTCATACGACTCAAGAGGTTGATAGTATAAACAAAATTAGCTACAACAACTGATAATGCTCTAGTCGAGAGAGCTCGTTTGGAAAATACCTCGAACCCAGATAACAGACTTGCTGATAGTAGTTTGTTCAATATGAAAAATCTGTGTTTCCAACTCGATTCTTATGGATTTTCTACAGTCATAGAATATATCAACTATAAGTCTTTATACCTATTCGAAATCGATAAAATGATATAAGCTTTATTTGCGTATGATATTCAAGAGCTTATAGTCAAGATTTAAAGTCTCTAGCTTTTAAAGTCTCTGAGATCGCATAAGCCACCCCCGATATTGATGCTGATCTATATTATAGAATATATATACTTTAACGGTTCGCAGGTGCTTCGGACAGAAGTTATACCAGCTTTTTCCGTTTTTAATGGGTTCATTTTAAAAGTAAAACTCCCCTGTTCAAAATGCATAGCTGCAAAAATAGAACACAAAATCAAACAATTACCACAAACGACCCAATTTCATAGAGCCAAAACCAGGGAAGGCAATTTTCCCTCACCAATTAGTTAAAAGAAAAAAAAATGAAATTTGTGCACCGCCCACAACCCAAAGCATAATTTGAGTTATACCTCAGCACTTTGGTTCTAATTATTGCGATTTGCGGCTGCGATTTGAATTTGTGTCAGTTGTGCCCGTTGGCAAGAAGTGGGTTATCTGTGTGGCTCAAAAAATGATCTAACCCGCTGATAAGGCCCTGTGCTATGACAAAAGAACCACAACAAAAACCGAAAATGAACCATCATCAGCAGGGAGATTCTGGGATAGAGGGTAAGGGATACGAGGGGGCTAATGCCAGTGGCAGTCTTAATGATTATGATTATGAATTTCTGTGTGTGTGTGTGTGTGTGTGGCTTTCCTTAATGGACAAAGATCGGTGTCAACTTTGGGAAATGCCATTGTGAAATACGAGAAGCAGCAACTGTATTTGTGGCCCATGGTAAATGTGTCAGGCAACTGAAAGTAAGCAGACCTATTTCATTAAATTGTGTACAGCTTGCAGCTACAAAAAGCGATTAAGAAAGTTATGCTCAGGGAACGGAAAAATTCCTACGTAAATATCTACGCATATGTGTCATATATATATATGTGCCATATAGGAAGGGAAAACGAGAATTACACATTCAATTCAGTTTGCATAAGTTTTGATCAGTAAAACTCACGCTGATCTCGAAATAACCTTGAGTCATTGGATACCTAGAGAG